GCGTGTGGGGGGCGGTTCGGTGTGGGGAGCGGTACCGTGAGGAAGTGGTGCCCGTGGGTCCGCGTGTGGGGAGCGGTTCGGTGTGGGGAGCGGAGCGGCGCGGTCCGGTCGCTCTCAGTCCGCTGCTCGTGGTGCCTGTCCCATCGCTACCTCACCTTCTGTCTGCAAACACGAGCTACTCCTCGAAGAATAAGAGGAGTTCATTGAAGGCAATGAGCATGAGTGGCAGGTGAATCCCAGACGCCACTGTCCCCATTGTGTAACTGAAAACTTCAGTAGCGGCCATCAGTGAGCCTTCCCAGCACTTCCACGTCCTGAAATCAGCCTTTGGTGTCTTGTAGCTTAAAGGGCAAAAAATCTGAAGACTGGGAAGCATGAGCTTTGTGTCAGAGTTAGGGAGCTTTTCCAGTGGAGGATGTGAGAATGGCGTGAAGTTTGGTGAGGCCAAGTGCCAGGTCCTGCACATGGGTGAGGGCAATCTCCAGTTTCCCCAAATCAGAATGGTTTGGGTTGAGGGGACCTTAAAGCTCATCTAGGTCCAGCCCTCTGCCATGGGCAGGGGCATCTTCCACTAGAGCAGGTTGCTGGCCTTGAGAACCTCTAGGTGTGGATCATACTGGCACCCGACTTGATTGCCTCAGTGATGCACAGAATCACAGAATGGTTTGGGTTGGAAAGGACCTTAAGATCATCCAGTTCCATCCCCCTGCCATGGGCAGGGACACCTCACACTAAACCATGTCACCCAAGGCTCTGCCCAACCTGGGCTTGAACACTGGCAGGGATGGAGCATTCACAACCTCCCTGGGCAACCCCTTCCAGTGCCTCACCACCCTCACAGGAGAGAATTTCCTCCTTATATCCAGTCTAAACTTCCCCTGTTTAAGTTTTAACCCGTTACCCCTTGTCCTGTCACTACAGTCCCTAATGAAGAGTCCCTTTCCAGCATCCCTATAGGCCCCCTTCAGATACTGGAAGGCTGCTCTGAGGTTTCCATGCAGCCTTCTCTTCTCCAGGCTGAACAGCCCAAACTTCCTCAGCCTGTCTTCATACAGGAGGTGCTCCAGCCCCTGATCATCCTCATGGCCTCCTCTGGACTTGTTCCAACAGTTCCATGTCCTTTTTATGTTGAGGACACCAGAACTACACACAATACTCCAGGTGAGGTCTCACAAGAGCAGAGTAAAGGGGCAGGATCACCTCCTTCGACCTGCTGGTCATGCTCCTTTTGATGCAGCCCAGGATATGGTTGGCTTTCTGGGCTGCGAGCACACACTGAAGCCGGCTCATGTTCATTTTCTCGTTGACCAACACCCCCAAGTCCTTCTCTGCAGGGCTGCTCTGAATCTCTTCTCTGCCAAACCCGTGGCTCTGCAAATGCTGTGTTTAAGAGCTCACTTACTGCCATTAAGCTACTCAGTCTCCTAAGATCTCCGGGATGGAAGTATTTAATGTTCTGAATAGTTCCACATGGTAGAACAACTCCAAAGAGAAGTTGCCTAAATGTGTATCATCTATCAAAAAACAGAAATGGACGATTACATGTGGTATTGTCTGCCTAAAAGCTTGATTAATTTACTTTTGCTTTTGATAATCTTCATTGCTCCAGCTATGGTTATGGAGGAACTGCTACACTGCGAGCCTTACCCGAGACCTCCAGATGTTTAGATACATTGAAGTGACTGTTGTCAGTTCAGTCATTTTCTATTTGCGTTTGTGCAGTAACATATAGTTTACCAACTGCTCAGATCCTTTTGGTATCTTCCAACCTCTTACTCTATGACTGATTATCTTATATTTTGAATATGATGCAACCTTCTTATCACCACCAAGTAACACTTCACCAGATCCCCACAGAACAGCTTTTCTTTGCGCTGCACAAGAAACACTTCTTCTTCATCATGAACTTGTCTGGTTTATAAATGCTGCTTTTATATGGCTCTACTGCAAATCTGAATTCTAAAGAATGCTGCTGCAGCAGTGAATTTCTTTTGTTGCAGTATACATCTTGTGCTAGACACCTCTTTCTTTAAATATAACCTTACATTTATTATTGTCTGTGCCAACAACTTATGCACATACTGCATTTATACTTTGCCAGACCAACTTCAGCTCTTTCCCTTGTCTGCTGACACTAGCAGATTTTTCCCTAGTCCAGCACTTATCCTCTGTTCTTCATATAATAATTCTGAATTTTTTTTTTTTTGTGATTACAGATCATTAATTACTCTCTAATTAGTCTTATTAAATGTGTATGAATTTGTTTTAAAACATCACTCAGCATCATAGTGGCTAATCTTTTTAGCTATGCTCTGGTTTTATGTAAAGAAAATTCTTCAGGATTTTTTTTTGCCTCATATTCTGGTAATATTTTCTCTATAATAAATGCAAGATCTTCAGTGGAACTACAATTGCCTTATGCAGTTTCTGTAATAGAATGTCAGCAACAAGAAACAATTCTTCACTAAAGAACAAGAATAGCATCTCTGGCCACTCTTTTATTAAACATAATTTATTTAGAGAGCTCAAAAATAACCTGCACTTATTCAGGTCTACAAAGCACAGCAAAAAGAGCTCAAGCGCAGTCTGGTGAGTCAAGTAAGAGGAGAAAAGGAAAGACTGAGATATGATGCTGCTCTGCAGTTTGTAATTAGTACAAACAGTCCATACTGAATAGGGTGTATTAGTTTTTAAGCAAACAGTTATTCTGAACTCTCCGGAGCAGAGATTAATTTTACCTGTTTCCAGTCAGGCTTAACAAAGAATTCTTAATAACAAACCCAATTAGGTTCTGATTCAAGAGAAATAATTTACTATGAACTGCTCTATGGGTTTGTTTGTTTTAATTAGGAACAAGTTCCATTCCATTACTGGTACAACATTAACTGTGCTGTTTCAAAATATACTAAAAAAGTTAAATGATTAAACATCAGTGACATTGCAATATCGTGGTATTCTCAGCGTGTGAGCACACCCGCCTTATGCTCCACAGCTACATCGTGATTCTGTCTCCCACAGACTAAAGCTGTGTTAGCAGCATGGAAAGATGCCTTTAAGTTTGCTGTGCTTGTGTTCCTGTTATCTGTCAGGTGGAAGGCATCATCCACCCATCACAGTGCTGAAGAACACAGACTTATCCCAGTGTGGCCTTTCAGGGAGCACTGCACAGGAAAAGAGGAAATATCTGATGATGAGATAGGACCTAGAAGAGGAGAGAGTCCTGGTTTGTCCAGACCACCTTAAACTGCATTGTCCGCAGATGAGTAAAATGCCTGCAGGCAAGTCCCTTGATCCCATAGGATCTATACGGATCCTAAGTTGGCATCCAAATAGCTCGACAACCTCAGAAATCTTGATAGTTTGAAGGGTTTATATGTACGTTGAAATCATGGAAGCAAGAACTTCACTGTCATAGTAATGTCAACTGTGTCCACAAGATGTCGCAAGATGATAAGGATCAGAGAAGGAACCGAAGGACCTAAGGTATCTATACAGTATCATAGGGTACAGTGCTTCACTTCAGCTATAACTTACACAGAACGGCCTCACAAAAGTTGTAACCTCAAGGGAATTATGCAGTCTAAGAGATGTAGGTTACCTGTAATAGCTAAGTGTAACAGAGGTCTCCAAATACAGTAATGTTAGAACTGATGCAAGTGAACACATCATTGTACTATCCTTGCACTAAGGTGCTTACAACTGCTTAAGGGTCTATCTTTTATTAATAAATCAGTATCATCTGTAGGAAAGCCTTGTCCTTATCTACTGGACAAATTCTATATAAGCTAGTTATAGTTAACAAAGTCCCTGTATTTTCTATTTAATACGATCTTTATGGGTACATCCCTTTCCTCCCTAAATTCTATGTGAACTAGCATTGTGTACTATGGAAAAAGCCTTTGTTCTGAAGAACCTTCCCTGTGAGGGGAGGGTTCTGAGGCGCTGGCACAGGGTGCCCAGAGAAGCTGTGGCTGCCCTATCCCTGGCAGCGTTCAAGGCCAGGTTGGACACAGGGGCTTGGAGCAAGCTGCTCTAGTGGAAGGTGGCCCTGCCAGTGACAGGGGCTGGAGCTGGATGAGCTTTAAGGTCCCTTCCAACACAAACCAGTCTGTGGCTCTCTGATTCTTCTCTCTCATGTTAATTACTTACCTTAGCAGACTTCTTCCCAACACTAATCATCAGGCATATTGTTTGTAAAGCATATTAGAAACTATTTATTCAAGCCATTAATTAAATGCAAACTATGCCTCATCATTTCTGGAACAGCTGACTCCCTCTCAATAGAAGTACAGTAGCACCTATCCAAATGGGCACAGATGAACTTCTGGACCCAACACTATCAGTAGCAAAACACCCACTGCCTTCAGTGGGCTGAGGCTGACATGTAACCATGTAACCAGGTACCTGCACAGCAGACACACAGGAATGTGTTAATAATAAAGACAAAACCCCATAATCACTTAATAGTTTCCATGTGCCCTCCACACCTCAGCATACCACAGACAAGTGTCAGGAGTACCAGGCAGCATTCCCTTTTAGCGTACTACAGCAGCAAAAGAGGTATTTAGCAGCCTGTAATTACAGTTTGAGTTGACGATTTTGTAGCCACTGGCCTGTAATTGGAATATGTACATAGAGGATGTGCCCATTTGCCATTAAAAATGAGTTTCCAAAACTCAGGCTCTAGCCTGGGGCTAAGGCACATGTCGAGGGGCTGAGGAAGGGACGCCTCGCGGCCCGCTCCGCCTCTCCCCTCTGGAAACCCGCCTTCCCGCGGGGGCCCGGGGCGGGTACCGACCGCCGGAACACCTGGAGCGCGGGCCCCGCCGCCGGGGGAAGGCGGCAGCGGGCGGGGATGGGACTTGTAGTTCTCGCTCCGCTCGGCGCTCGGGCGGCGGCCGCGCGGCCCGGCGGGAGTTGTAGTCCCGCCGCCGGCATCGCGGGCCCCCCATGGCGGCCGGAGACTACAGCTCCCAGCGCGCCGCGGCGGCCGCACTGCGCTCGCCGGGCGGCGGGGGGAAGGAGCCGGGCGGGGGGGAAAGATGGCGGCGAGGTTGAGCGGCGGCGAGAACCGGCTGGTGTCGCTGCCCCTGTCCCGTATCCGTGTGATCATGAAGAGCTCGCCGGAGGTCTCCAGCATCAACCAGGACGCGCTGTTCCTCACCGCCAAAGCCACGGTACCGGTTCCCTCTTCCCTTCTTTCTGCTCCGACCCTGCTGCTTCCCCGCCGTGCTGGGCCTGTGCCTCCCTGAGGTGCCGGTGCCTCCCTGAGGTGCAGCTGCCTCCGGGCAGTGCGGCCGCGCTGTGTCAGCGCCCGCCTCGTCCCCAAGGAGCGCCTCTTCCCTCCTGCCTGTGTCTGTCACTCGGCCTTGGCGCATCACGCTTCGGGCTCCCGCCGTGCGAAGGCGGCTTTCGCCATCCAGCTGAGCTCCGAGTCTGGAGCGATCGGGACGTTCTTATTTCCACCGCTGGCAATCAATATAAATTAGCCCGTGTGGAAATGATGCTGCTGCTCTCTGATCCCGAGCGGCATTTGCAGCACTGTGGAAGGTGTTTGTTTGAGCTTGTGTCTGAGAAGCCAAGCCTACTGTCTGTGCTCCAAAGAGATGCAACCATAACCTCACCTTAAGCTTCTCTGAAATGAGTCTGCACAGCATCCAGTATATGTACAGTTAAATATGGTGTTTGTGCTTTTAAATAAGGATTGAGGAAAACTGCTGCCAACTATATATGTGCATTCCTAGTTTGACAATTTGCTTTTGTTTTAATTTTCTAGGAGCTTTTTGTTCAGTATTTGGCTGCATACTCCTACAAACATGGCAAAGGCAAGGAGAAGAACGCTTTAACTTACAGTGACCTGTCTCATACTGCAGAAGAGTGCGAGACCTTTCAGTTCCTTGCAGGTATCTACAGCATGATGGTAAAGCCAGTATGTAATACTCAAAATGAAATCTTGCTGTTTTTGCATTATTCTCCTACTGGTCATTAATCTTCTGTGTACCATTGAACTGGAACCCATAAACTACATCGCTGAACACATTTCATAGAACCACAGAATGGTTTGGGTTGAAGGGACCTTAAAGCTCATCCAGCTCCCACCCCCTGCCATGGGCAGGGACACCTTCCACTAGAGCAGGTTGCTCCAAGCCCCTGTGTCCAACCTGGCCTTGAACACTGCCAGGGATGGGGCAGCCACAGCTTCTCTGGGCAGTATCTCACCACTCTCACAGGGAAGAATTTCTTCCTGATACCTGATTTAAATCTCTTTGTGAATGGGAATTTTCCTGGCGCTTCAAAATTACACAAGGCTAAGGAGATCGCAGCATATTGCCTTGAGCATTTCTTGAATTATAGCACCTCCATCTGAAAGCTTTCAGCCTACAAAACAAGATCACAGCACATCTTTATGTGAGAAATTATGTGGCCCCAAAATCCCACATTTAAATCTGTAAATCTTGTTTTTCAAACTGAGTCATCGTATGGTTCCTCTTTCTTTATATATATATGTGTGTGTGTGTGTGTGTGTGTACCCAAATGTGTGTGTACACACTTTTTACTGATACTGGATTTTTGTTGTAATACTTGAGACCTCAAGGATATAGGTGGAGAATAAGATAGTTCCAGCCCGGTCTTTCTCTGGGTTCCCCATGGACGTACTTCCAGAGCACACAGTCCTGCTTTGTTCTCAGGTCTGTTGTTATTGCCCTGAGCAAGTATTTTACCTTAACACAGAAAACTGCTTCTGCAGGACAGAAATGGGGTAGCTGGCTTGTTGAATCTAAAGCAGTTGAGTAGCTGAGCACTCTGTTTTACATGAAATAAATAACATGCATGAGCAGATAGCAAAGACAGTTGTCAGTAATCCATCGTAAAATATGTTTCGTCCTCTTGGTTACTTGTACTGCAAGTGGGTGATTCCCTCTTGTTCTTACAGCTGTATAGGTCAGACTAACTCGTGGTTATTCACTTAAATAATAATGGGTTTAACAAAGCCTAGTTTTGACTTCATTTCTTTGGTAGTAAGGATGCAAGAGTATTAATGAGGCAATATAAGTATTCAAACTGACTACAAAAGAAACAATTCTACCTTCCAGATATCCTGCCAAAGAAGATCCTAGCTAGCAAATATCTAAAAATGCTTGAAAAAGAGAAGCAAGATGGAGACATGGGTGAAGATGATGAAGAGGATGAGGAGGAAGAGGATGAAGATGAAGCTGTTGAAGATGTTGGATCTTAAGTCTGTGGAGAATTGCTTCATAGTTGATCCATTTTCTGTTTTGTAAAAGATGTTATTTTTGTGACTGAGAATCCAGATGCTGGATATATTTATACACTGAGCCATCTGCTTTTGCTTTAAGAAGTTGAGAAATTGAACTTTACACTTGTTGAAGAATGGAATTCTTTCTTCAGAAACACGGTGGGGTAAGAAGAGCTAATATAGATCATAAAAGCCATAGAATGGATTGGGTTGGAAGGGATCTTAAAGATCATCCAGTTCCAACTCACCTGCCATAGGCAGGGACACCTTCCACTAAAGCAGGTTGCTCCAGGCCCTGTCCAGCGTGGCCTTGAATAGTGCCAGGGATGGGGCAGCCACAGCTTCTCTGGGCAACCTATGCCAGCACCTCAGCACCCTCATAGTGAAGAATATTTTCCTAATACCTAATGTCAGTCTCCCCTCTGTCAGTTTAAAGCCATTCCCCCTTGTCTTGTCACCACATGCCCTTGTCCAAAGCCCCTCTCCAGGTTCCTTGTGGCTACTTTAGGCACTGGAAGCTGCTCTAAGGTCTCTCCAGGGCCTCCTCCAGGCTGAACCAGCTCTCAGCCTGGCTCCAGAGCAGAGCTGCTCCAGCCCTTGCAGCATCTCCATGGCTTCCTCTGGGCTCACTCCAGCAGCTCCACATCCCTCTTGTGCTGTTGCCCTAGAACTGGATCAGGACTGCAGGAGGGGTCTCACCAGAGTGCTGCAGAGGGGCAGAGTCCCCTCCCTCAACCTGTTGCTCATGTTCCTTTTGATGCAGCCCAACACACAGGTGGTTTCTGGGCTCAAGCGCACACTGCCAGCTCATGTTGAGCTTTTCATCAACCAACACCCCCAAGTCCTTCTGCTCTCAATCCAGGCTCTGCCCAGCCTGTGTTTGTGCTTGCTGTTTGTGCTGTGACCCAGGTGCAGGACCTTGCATTGGCCTTGTCTAATCTGACAGCAGAACTTGCTCAGGTTATTTAAAATTACTTCTTCAGACAATCATTATCCAAATGTAAAATTTCCAAAGGGCAGCTTTCAGTCCAAAAGCTCTTTCACCCTCTGACTAGAACAGGTTCCTTCCCCGTCCTTAGAGCGGACGATGAGGTAAGGGGAAGTGTTTTATACAGTGTTTACTATCCTCAGCTTTCTCCTCCTCAGGGAGCAAATAACCAATCGAACTCTCACTTTTCTGGGACTGTGCTGGGGCATTACTATAGACCAAACCAATTAAAAGAGTCTTCTGTAAAAACTGCTCCTTCTGTAATGCAGCCCAAATAGCCATGTCAGCACAGGAACTGAGTAGAGGATGAGATGTGTTCCAAGACCTAATGTGTTTCTGCAGCTGTGGTGGTATACAGTACATGTGTGTGTTAGATAATGATGTAAATATGTACATCTAGAACCTTTAACTGTACATGTAGAAACTTCAGTGAACTTTACTTCTTGAATTTGTCTCAAGTGTTCTTACCAAAATGCACACTGAAGTCTGTTAGATGTGGATTGGTGAGGATGAGCAACCCTTTTCCCTATTGAGTGACAGAGTTGGATTTATCATTTAGGTTTGTTTTGTTGGGTTTTTTACTAGAGAAATGGTAACCGTCCTGTGTAGACCTTTATATGCAACTTATTAAAAATAAATGTTTTGTATGAAAAGTGAGAGTTGATGCAGAGATTTTTCACAGTTCTGTCCAGCTTCAGTCACAACATGGTCAGTGTACAAGCCCAGCACTCTCACTATTCATCCTTCCAGGAAGGAAGCAGGTACAGAAGGGTTTGTGCTGCTTTGAGTAGGCCCTGTCAGCAATACTAACTAGATCCACTCAGCCTCTGCTGGCACACAACTAACGCTTGCACAGTGTTGTCATCAGAATGAGAGAAGTGACCAGAGTCTCTCCCTGTCTGTGAAGAATGCCTCAAGTAAGCATGGGAACATACCTAAGGAACAATACCTCTCACTCCAGAAAGCTGGGCAGCAAAATGCCCTAAATCAGTTATGAAGGGAGGTGTCACAAGCAACACCCTAATTTGGATGGTTTGGTAAAGACTTACTTTGTCTTCCCAGTCAAGGAAATCACAGAATGGTTTGGGTTGGAAGGGACCTTAAGGATCATCCAGTTCCAACCCCTTGCCATGGGCAGGGATACCTTCCGCTAGAGCAGGCTGTTCAAAGTCCCATCCAATCTGGCCTAAATCATAGAATCATAGAATAGTTAGAGTTGGAAAGGACCTTAAGATCATCAAGTTCCAACCCCCCTGCCATGGCCAGGGACACCTCACATTAAAACATGTCACCCAAGGCCTCGTCCAACCTGGGCTTGAACACTGCCAGGGATGGAGCATTCGTCACTTCCCTGGGCAACCCATTCCAGTACCTCACCACCCTAACAGGAAAGAATTTCCTCCTTATATCCAATCTAAACTTCCCCTGTTTGAGTTTTAACCCGTTACCCCTTGTCCTATCACTACAGTCCCTAATGAAGAGTCCCTCCCCAGCATCCCTATAGGCCCCCTTCAGATACTGGAAGGCTGCTGTGAGGTCTCCATGCAGCCTTCTCTTCTCCAGGCTGAACAGCCACAACTTTCTCAGCCTGTCTTCATACAGGAGGTGCTCCAGTCCCCTGATCATCCTCGTGGCCCTTCTCTGGACTTGTTCCAACAGCTCCATGTCCTTTTTATGTTGAGGACACCAGAACTGCACACAATACTCCAGGTGAGGTCTCACAAGAGCAGAGTAGAGGGGCAGGATCACCTCCTTGGACCTGCTGGTCACGCTCCTTTTGATGCAGCCCAGGATACAGTTGCTTTCTGGGCTGCAAGCGCACACTGAAGCCGGCTCATGTTCATTTTCTCATCAACCAACACCCCCAACTCCTTCTCCGCAGGGCTGCTCTGAATCTCTTCTCTGCCCAACCTGTAGCTGTGCCTGGGATTGCTCCCACCCAGGTGTAGGACCTTGCACTTGTCATGGTTAAACTTCATGAGGTTGGCATCAGCCCACCTCACAAGCATGTCGAGGTCCCTCTGGATGGCATTCCTTCCCTCCAGGGTACCAACCGAACCACACAGCTTGGTGTCATCGGCAAACTTGCTGAGGCCGCACTCAATCCCACTGTCCATGTCAGCGACAAAGATGTTAAACAAGATCGGTCCCAACACCGATCCCTGAGGGACACCACTCGTTACTGGTCTCCAGCCGGACATTGAGCCATTGACCACAACTGTTATAAATAGTAACACTTTTCTTAGGCAGAAGACACAAATACACTCAACTGCTCCTGAAACACGACACAGAAGGAATTGGCTACTTCATAATCCATCACACCCCAAGTTTGTTCTAAAAAAGCAAGAAATAGGCTTTAGGCAGGTAAGATCAGACACTAGCAGAGGAGTAAATCTACTGAGCCACACAAGCGCTCTTATTACTTGAAAAGATCAAAAGTATGTTGTACTATAAAAAATATTCCCAGAGTTACCATAAATTGAAATGGTATTGTGTCAGGAGAGCTGCAGTGAGTGCTAAGGGATCCTTTCTCCCCAACGCAATTCCCAAGTGGGCACGCAGAGCTGAACTATTGAAAGGGTTGGTTTGCCTGGGTTTCAGGTTTTTTTTTTTTGAATAATATTATTAAAAATGCATGGAAATCTGTGGGAAAACTGAGGGCTGAATGCTGCCTGTCAGGAGGGACGGGGTTGTCTGCAGTAGGGTATGTAAATTGTGTGGCATCACCAAACATTTTATGGGTCCAGTCCTTGCCAGCTTTTCTGGGGAAAAAGAAAAGCTACTTGTACCCCAGCACAAACTGCCATCATGATTCTGAAGTTTAAATAGGGTAGGGATAAATCAGATAAATAAAAACATGGGGGCATAATCCACTGGCTGGCACCCCAGTTGTGTTGAAGAGTCACAGAGGACCAGCCTGATCACAGAGCTGGCATCAATGTTGTTCAGCTCACTGGTACTAATGACAAAGGCCAAACACTACCTGGCCCACAGTTATCTTAGGTGGTCACAATCGAAGACTGCAGCAACCTCAAACAGCCCTGGCAAAGCAGTCTTTATGCTGGGCACAGGTATTTTGAGGTAAAGGCCTTAGGGCTGGTAAGTTCCCTGGTGCATTTATGGAAATTCCAGTTCTGATTAGTTTCAGAGTCAGTATTTTCTGTTTTCAATCTGTCTGAGCAGCTGATCCAGTTGTCCATTATGCAGCATCCTCTGAAATGTGGTGAGTTATTTAAAGCCAATCTTGATGCCAGGTATAGCTTATGAAGAATGATATTGGTGACTCAGTGAAAGGTGCTAAAATAGCTGCCAGCCCCAAGTATCGCCCACCCTTCATCATCTGCAGGGGCTGATCATGCCTGGTAACTCTGCAGATGGTTACCACTGACAGGCTGAGAAAGCTGGGGCTGTTCAGCCTGGAGAAGGCTGCGTGGAGACCTCAGAGCAGCCTTCCAGTATATGAAGGAGGGCTATAGGGACGCTGGGGGGCGGAGAAGGGGGACTCTTCATTAGGGACTGTAGTGACAAGACAAGGGGTAATGGGTTAAAGCTTAAACAGGGGAAGTTTAGATTGGATATTAGGAAATTCTTTCCTGTTAGGGTGGTGAGGCACTGGAATGGGTTGCCCAAGGAAGTTGTGAAGGCTCCATCCCCGGCAGTGTTCAAGACCAGGTTGGATGAGGCCTTGGGTGATATGATTTAGCGTAAGGTGTCCCTGCCCATGGCAGGGGGGTTGGAACTGGATGATCTTAAGGCCCTTTCCAACCCTAACGATTCTATGATTCTATGATACGTGGTAGGTAACACCAGTACTCTGCTTTTAGACACCCCCCAAAAAAGGAGAAAACCAAAATCCCCAACACATTCCTCAGTCACTGCATACTCACGAGCCTGGGCAGGAGCATGTCTGCGTGCTCAGCTGACGTGTCCAGGACACAGTGTGACACCATGACACAACTGGGAGCACTGGGACTGCAGACAAAATGCTTTCTTGGGACAGGACAGATCATGGCCAGACCTCTGAGGGTCAACTGAAGGAGGAAATTCTGCTGCTGTGGCAAAAGGCCACTGCCTGACCATATCATCACATACCTGGGCTCTGTTGGCAGCTGGTACCTGGTCACAGGTAGCACACACCAGCAGTCAGCCGTGCCTCACTGTCCTGCATCCCAGGTTGGTCACAGCAGAGGGAAATGTGTCCTTTCCTTCTCACCCATAGCTCAAGCAGTGGCTCCACAGCCTGAGCAGAGCCAAACTGCTTGGGAAGAGACCTGGCATGCACCATGTCCTCACACTGGCCCTGGCAGTCACCTTCTCCTTGTGGCCAGGCTGCAAAACGCCATGGTGTGTGCCTGGGAGAAGGAGCAAGCACAGTGAGTTCCGAGGCCCTTGCTCTGCACAACTGGTTACCTTCCAGTATGAGACCAAAGATGTGATGAGGAGGGGAAAGTGTGAGGAGGAACAATCAGCTGGAGGTGGTTGGGTGGAGGAGCCGCACGCCCTAAGGAGGGACACACGCTGAAAACCAGGAACATGAATCACTCCACAAGTGGTTCTCCTTGTGGCACCTCGGTTACCCCTGTTCATGCAGTGCCTACCCTGGTTTCCCTCCACACACACCCCATTGTGCTTTATTTCCTCACAGCTTCCCCTTCCTGCCACGCTATAGCTCATGTACAGCAACACGGACGCAGGGACACCGGTGTGCGGGGTGCCCGTGCCCAGCCACCGGCCATGGCGCTGCTCCCCTCCGTGAGGTGAAGCCGGGGCTGCCCCGTGCTGGACCCAGCTGAACCCCTCAGACAAGCGGGGGGCAAGGGGGAAAACAGGTTCCAGGCAGGGTCAAAGGCGGCGCAGGCAGAGGAGGAGGAAGCCGAGGAGGGAGCAGCAGCAGCAGCGGGACCCCGAGGGAGGGCGGAGGAGGAGGAGGAAGCAGGAGGTGCTGCAGGCCCGGAGCAGGGATCCCCTCAGCCCTGCAGAGACCCCGCGGGAGCAGAGACCCCCCTGCAGCCCGGGGAGGGCCCCACGCCGCAGCAGGGGGGGATTTCCTGCAGGAGCTGCGGCCCTGCAGAGCCCCGGCGGGGCCCTGAAGGGTGCGGGCGGGGAAGGGCCCGCGCTGGAGCAGGGGTGAGGAGGGAGCTGCGGGCGAGAGGGGCTGTGCTGGGCTGAGCGCGACCCCATCCGCACCCCTGCGCCTCGGGGAGAGGGGTCGGGCTGGGAAGGAAGGGGCGAGGGGAAGGCGAGGTCTGATTTACCTGTGGCAGTCCCTGGTACGTGATCTCCCCATCTTTACCTCAGCCCTTGAGCCTTCTCATCCTGTTTTCTCCCTCTGTCCTGCTCAGGAGGAGGAGTGAGCAGCTGTGGGGGCTTCTGGCCCCATCAGTCCTTCAAGAGGAGAAATACCAAACCAGCCCGTTAACACTGGGTTACGCGCTGAAGGAAATACATTTCAGGTGAGATCAGATGTGCAAATACACAAACCAGAGCAGTGGGACACAAAAGGCAGGATTTCAAGTGACACATCCCAGTGCCCTCACAGCACACCTTTGTCCCTTGCGGTAAATCAAAAGACACATTCACCATCTATTACAAAGCTCCAGCTCCAGACCACCATCATTTAACATGGACTTCCTCAGACTGGTCCAAAAGCGACTGAG